CAAATGGCATTTCAACGTTTGAAGTAGTGTTGTATCTCTACTCTTGTATTAAAGATTTTTGATCTTGAGAAGCCTCTTGTGATTGAGACAAATACAAGTGACATTGCTATTGGAGCCATCTTACTTCAAGTTAGACATCCTTTTACGTACATGAGCCATAAGTTTGATGCTACATAGTGGAACTAGCCTACTCAAGAGGAATTGTATGCTATGATTGCTATTGTGAAGGAATGGTGATATTATTTGTATAAATCAGACTTCCATATAGACTCAGATCATTAGTCTCTTCAGTATTTTAGTTGACAAAAGGATCTTCTAGGCCAACAAACTCCTTGTATTGACAAACTCATTAAATAGATTTTGGTTGAGTGTCATAATGTGCCAAGTGTTAGGCATTTGGGGGTATTAAGAATGTATATGTTGGTGAAGAGGCATTTTTTTTGGCTTCGGATGAAGTTAGATGTTGAGAAATACGTATATGGTTGTTTGACCCCAGGTGATCAAAGTTGATCATCAAAAGCTCATTAGCCTGTATCATCCCCGGACAAATAGAGTGCATAAATCATCTGTTGGAAGATATGTTGAGGTTTTTTATGGGAAACTTGAATCGACAGGGAGTATGGGAGAAATATTTGTCTTTGCTTTAGTTAGTTCACACCAGCACTCATCAATCGGCCTCATGCTTGTGATTTCTTAGAGATATGCGAGATAAGCTTGAGTTGGCAAAGGTGAACATGAATAAGCTCAAGATCGAGACAAAAGATTAGCTAATGAGCATTGTTGTCATCAAGAATACAAAGTTGGTGACAAAGTTTTCCTTAATCTATCAGATGCATAATGGTTTCTAAAAGGAGGTGGCATTGCTAGATTGTTTTTATGGTGTTTCAGGCCTTAGACAATTTTATAGCGTGTAGGGGATCTTGCATACACTTTGGACTTGCCAACTAGGTCAAAGATTCATTCAATGTTCCATGTGAGAAAGCTTAAAGTGTGAATGCACTTTAGTGATATCTTGGATCAATCCATCATCTAGGTCCCAAGGATTGATGTTGAGAAGGCTAGTCCAACCAATATTCTTGCTCAAAGAGTGGTGATATCACGTCGGAAGACAATTAGGAAGTTGTTAGTTCAATAAAATGGTTATTCCATGGATTAAGCTACATGGGAAACTAAAGATGATATAAAGAAAGTGTTTCCGAGTTTTGGTTATAACTTAGATGACATTCCTAAGGAATGGGAGGATTATGAATCTATCTTTTATAACAAGATGTAACTCACTTCATAATAAGCACAAAAAGAATCACCAATGGTTTATATCCTCCACTTATAATCATGGAAATAAGAAAATAAGAATGGAACAAATGGCTCAAATCATATAACAATACTGTTATAGAACTCTTGTCATGCGAAAAAGCCATATTACTTTCTTTCTTTGTGGCTATTTGTCACAACATTAGTGTTGCCATTTGCACATCTTTTCTCCATAGCCGTATTCCTTTAAACTCCCTTCATGTGAAGCTCATTTAACTTCTTAAGGTTGCTATCCATGGCTAGGTTATGAGGGAGAGAAGAATGATACAAACCATAAGAACATTCTGAAAATATTTTATAGCCTGTGGGATTTAAGGCCATAATGCCTTAAGGGTTGAGAGGTTGGCCTAGGGTTCCCTCCCTTATTTGTTTAACTATACATGCTTATACCCAAACAAGACCACTAGAATTGAGCTTGTATGTATGGTTTGTAGATTGGAGGTGAAGGGAAGATTGAGAGGCTTATCACATAGAGCATTATTTCTAGCACTATTCCAGGGCCAAGTACCTCCACTGCCATGTATTCTCACCATGTCCTTACTTCTTATATGTGGTAAAATAAAAAACAAAGAGGTGAGGCTTGCTATGGAGATGAGAGGAAATGCAAAAGGCTTGCTATGAGTGTGAAGGAAGAGCAGTGTCAATATAAACTAGAAGAGCCACACCTTCAACGTCAGCTATTACATGTTTAATAAATAAATCCAAGTGTAGGAGATATTGCTCATCAAGATTAAGGCCTTGTTGATGCATCAGAAAAGCCTAATTCCTCGTAGTTGTGAGTTTTCTAAGACATCAAGCATGCTTTGAGTGATAAAAAGAAGGGAAGTAATACTTGAGGGAGTGTTTCACCTTTAACATTCATAAATATTGAACATGATATATCTTCTATATCCTTTAAAGATAATGGCTGAACGATTCTACAAGTGGGAAAGTTTATGCATATCATCGTCAAATGAAAGGCTTACCCAAGCTCGTGCTCCAAGAGCTGAAACAAATTCACTGGTACATGAGATGGCCTAAAGAACTCACCACACCAATATAAACGCACCTTGTGTAAATTCTACATAGTGACTCAATGAGATATATCTTTGGCAAGATATGACATTGCAAACTCCATACATTGGAAATATCCATATGCCAATATCCTCCATTAGGTGCTTGTATAACCACATCATACACTTGTACAATTCACGCCAGAAGTGCTCAATGCACTGCAAGGTAGGGAGGTTAGTGGTGATGAACATGCACAACAAAATATTGAAGTTATACCTAGTTTCTTGTTGATGTCTTGTGAATAAAACTCTTGCCTTAAGGACCCAAAAAATGTTCCATATCATTCTCTACCACATTATGTTCAGGAGCATTGTCACTCCTAATGCATTTATGCCGGCTAAATCTGTATACAGCTTGTGCGTATTTGTTAAAAATCACATGCGTTTGTTTGATGGTTGATAGCTCTCAAGAGACTGTATAATGAGTTTCCCCACATATCAAAATGTGAATGTAAAATCTATATGATACAAGTTTGCAATATGCTGCCACAATGAATGTTTAAATCTTCACAAATGCAATGAAATATACTCAGTACATATGGCACAGCACATAAGGCTCCACATTAGTGTAAATCTGTCTTTGAATTCTAGACAGATGCCCCTACTATAGCCCTGCTGAATCATGCATTGCCAATGCTTCACAAACTTGCTATTAGCTAAATCTATATCCTACTGTTCAACAACTAGACCAGGAGTTAATGATACCCCAGTTTGTGCCAGCATAATTCATAGTTACATAAGTTTGAACTTAATTCAATCCTCTGTTGGTACTCTTGTATACACCTCTCCAATTCGGAATGACAATGCACATATATTTGTACAATGTTAGTCTTGTAATTTAGAAGTAATTTGCTAGGTACCTTTTAGTTTTTATCCCAAGAATCGAGGTGTAACCAAGTGGTAAATACATTTGGACTAGCAAATTCTCTTGTTCGCAAGAAAATCTCAAACACTTGAGAAATTAAGAAATTACGGATATGAGTGTGAAATTTCTACTTACAGGCAAAACATTGTCCTCCACCACTTCTTGCACATTGGAACTGCTTTCAGAAGCAGAGCTGAAAGAGGACAAAGTGCTGTTTGCCTCCTCACTTACCATCTCACATAGGTTAGAGATATATAATGTAACAATTCAAGCTTACTCATTCTGAATCTCTTTTGCTTGTTAACACCTTACCTCAATACTCTAGTTTTTGGACTCAAGCAAACTACAAACAAGAGGACAATAGGACATAAATTGGCTCACCATGTAGTGTAGCTACCAAAACCCCTCACATCCAAAAATGCCATTGCAACTAACATTCCTTGCATCTTAACCCTAACCCAAGACCCATCCCAGGTCTGGAACACATGAGGATGACTGAAGGATGTCATCAATGCATGTGGTACCATGCATGGGTTATATGGCTCATTATGGACCCATCTAAGACTTATTTATGTATATAAATAACTTGTATATCTGACATCCAATCAGGAATTGACTGCTGGGAATTGACTGCTGGCAACTGGTGGTGTGTGCATGGGTCGTGTGGTCAGTTGTCACGCAATTTACAAATTGCATGCCATTGACAGTAACAATTACCATCTCCAAGCATACAAAAGTTATTTTGTATGGCAACCATTTTGGGCTTATGTTCATTCCAGGCTAGAACAATTCAATGGTATACTCGTTCAAGAGAATATGCTTGACTCAATGGCAGCTAGCGGCTTCATCCCACTTTGAGGCGCTGAGAAGTTCACCTCATATTGTGGACTTCATTGAGGAAGATTCTTGTTACTATGTACATGTTGGGACCGAGTGGTATGCAATGCATGTTTTACATTCCTCCAGGTGCCCGCAAAGAGATGCAAAACGTTTCGAGTGTGGGGAGCTTCCCACTGGTCCTCGGTGGCGTATCAAAACACCTTTAATCAATGTCCCACGTGAAAAGGAGATATGTCACATGAGCAAATCCTCACGTACATCTCGAGCACCAAGGAGCTAAAGCTTTGGCCATTATATTTTATTCCGGATTGGATGGAGCTTCTTTCCTTATTCCATGCCGGATTGGTGTTTTATACTTTATTCCGGCCTGCCACTTTTTGTTCTCGTCTTGTGATTGGCCAATACCATATCATGAATATGGTACCATAGTCAAAAAAAGGAAAACGTCCTACGGGAAAAAGAACACGTTAAACGTATGATTGCATGAAACATCAAACCATTACATTTCTAATAATATTACATGCATTGCCAAGCAACTTCCGCTATTGCTTGGACAGCTTCAAACATGTGGAAGTTGTTGCTGCAACAGCATTAGCAATAGTGAAAACATAAGCTTCTTCAACTTCAAAAGAGTGTTAAAAGTCATTTATTGCACTGTGGTCTCATGCTTTCATGTATTAATATTTGAAGAAATTGCATTACAAATTTGCACCATTGTGGTCTCATGCTTTCATTATTTCCCAACAGGAGGCATGACACCGTTTTTGTTTGAATGGCACCATTTATTTGATGCTTCACTATGACAACATAAACCCTTCAGTTGGTCGCGGCAACACCTTTGTTTGGTGCTTCTGCTAAAATAACATATAAAAAGATAGATAAATACTCCACCCAGCTAGATATTTATGAACTTTATATTATTCATTTAAAATAATTTAATCTTCAAATCTCTCCGAACACAAATAAAACATGGAAAGTAATGAGACTCAGCATGTTTTTGGGCCCAGTGAAGGGGGGAATTTACTACCCTACTTACTCTCTCCTCACTCCCGAATAGAAGCTCCGGACCATCCCTGCACGGAGAATGGCTAGCAAGTGTGGCGCGGCAATGCAACGTGGGGTCTTATACTGATTCAGCGTTGCACCTTTGTCCAGAGCACTCTCTGCCAACTTGCGAAAAGTTCCCCTCTCCACTACGCAAAGCTCCAGGGGTCCAATCGTCTTGGCCGCACGGGACACAACATAACCGGGCTCCACAAATGCGCCATCCATGCAATCACAACACTCCTGCAATACCCTCTCAAAATCGTCACGCTTTTCTTGTGCCACCTTTGAAGATCCCTGGTTTCCTTTTCTCACGTGTGGCACGTCCAAGTCCACGTCCACGTCCACGTCCACGTCCAGCTCCACAAACACAACGTAGTGTCCCGGGCGGAACGACACGTCAGCATGGGCGGTATACTCTGCCACCCCGACGCCTGTGCCGTGTAGTACCGCGGCGGACCGCTCCATCACCACGGCCAGCTCGGTCTCGCCGTTTTTGTCGATGTGGATGCTGAGCTGCACGTCCCGGCGGCAGACGAACACGAACTGCGGCAGGTCGTGGTAAAACCCACAGATGCGTACAACGTCGCCCACGCGGTACCTGTACAGCCCTGCTCACACGTACAGGCATGCAATATACACTTGGTTATCATTCGAGACTCAATCAAAAAGGATTTACCGGACGAAGTTGTGATGGCGATCTCGTATTCTTGACCCACACGGACGTCTGCCATGCTCACTGGCGCTGCCACCTCCGTGAAAAGCGAGCTCGGCGGCACCACGGGACCATTGATCTCCTGGATCTTAGAAAACTTGCGCCGCTCCAGAGGAATGAACTCAAAGTAGGCAAGATCCGGGACGATGGTGAAGATGGTGTTGTGCGGGGACGAGAGAGGATCTATGTTGATTCCCATCCAGCTCTCGGAAGCGCCATAGTCACCGCAAACCAGCGCCAGGCCCGGCCCTGCGTAGAACCGCATCGCCTCGCAGTAGGACAACATTGTTCCGGTCATGATTGACAGGACGTAGCTCGTGTTCCTCCACAGCCTCGGGATGATTCCCTGGAAGCCACGGCTGCATTCCAATCGGATCTTGGCTGCTAGAGTTCCTCGATCGCGGTCGGGATGATCTTGGGTGAGCTGCTTCGAGGCCACGGTTTGGATTGCATGGTCTGTGATCCATTCGGGGAGTGTTCCAGACTCGATGCAATCGGCCAAGATTGACCAGGTCTTTTCCAGGAAGCGAAAGGCCTCGACGATTGTGTAGACGAAGGTGGAGGAGATTACGGCTATGTCGTCCGCGGCGAGGAGGGCGAAGAGCAGGTGGCAGTACGTTGCTTGGGGAAGGCTGGAGGAGAAGATCACCTCGTTTGGGCTAGAATTGAACATCTTTGTGGACTGCTGCTTGAGCTTGAAGGCTTCGCTGCGGAAATAGTTTGTGGTTCCGGTTCCCGTGAGAATTCCTCCTTTGGTCATTGTTTGTTTGCCACAGTAGACAATGTCCATGACTTTGGCATTCGAGCTCAGTGGGAAGTGCCTGACTTTTTCAGAGTGAATTCATGAGTGAGAGAATCCAGTTGACATGTCAATTATAGTACCTTCCTCGAAACGCTCCAGAGAGTTGGAACAATCGAATGGTGTTGAGAAAGAAGTCATAGTGCGCTGGGATGAGCTTTGTTCGTCCCTTGGCAGTCCCAGAGCTTAGGAAACAGTGTACTATCAGCACAGCTTTTAAGAAAAAAAAAGGAAAAAATTACCTCAGGAAGAACATATCAACTGGCTTTTGGCAGAGAACCGGCGACTGATCGCCATCGGCAATCTTTTGAATGTAGCCTTCGATGTCTGCATAGGTGATAAGCGGGAGACGCGCTTTAAAAGTCTCCAGATCAGTGCAGCCATTCAGCTTGTGCTCCTTGAGATAGTCAGCATCTGCATTCTGCACCAAGATCTGCTCGAGGAGCTCAGCCTGCACAACATTACCATTCCTGGCCAGCTCCTCAAAGCCATAAGTAAGAGCGTCACTATGGGAGATCAATGGAATCCCTGGCATGATGGCAAGGAAAACACTGAGGCTTCTATTTTTTTCAGTAAGAAACTTTGATGCTGAAAAAAACCTCAAGAATGTGAAGTTGCTGTTCGAATGTGTTGTGTGTGTGAGCAGACTTCCAGAACTTGGCTTATTTATACTGGGCTGCTGAGTTAGTTTGTCCTCCGTAAGATGCAAATGATTTGATGCAAATGATTACTTGGGGAAGTCTGGCCATTCTTTCACCCTTCCTTTTAAAAGTTGGTGTACAAAAACCCAATAAGGTCGGCCACTTAGCTGAACTTGTCAAGAATGGAGGAAGTTTAAACTGTAGATATATAATCCTCCTCTGTTCATCATCAACTCTGGTGGACATTTCTTTCTTGACAACTGGTTTGTTTACGGTCCACTTTCTTATAGGGATCTAGCAAAAGAAAACAAATAGAAAAATAAAAAATAAAAACACTGTACCACTAGCCCTGCAGGATCAAAAGAGCTGATATGTTTGCTGGTTGTACGTCTCTCTATTCTATGTTGAATATGTCTCTCTATTCTATAGGCTGTTCAGTGGCATTCATTGAAATTGACTATGATAACAGGTACGTCACTCTTGGTCCCTCAAATCTTTCAACTTCAATCTCAATACAGGGCCACACACCGATAAATCAGGAAATATCATCCGTTCTGTCAAAACAAAACAATAAAAAAGACTGCACTTCGCCGACACAACTTACCAAATTTCTTGGAGACAGCGAAAGCAATGCCTAGCTTTTGACGTTTGGCGTTTGCGGTATTTCGAGATGCATTAGAAAATCTTGGAGGTGGACTCGCGAAAGATTACGTGAAAGGATAGAAATTTACGAAGAGCAATGTTCCAACCAGGGTGTAAGAAAGAAACACCCACCATCCAATCCATTGCCTACGAAAGGATGCCGAGAACCAATATATAACTGGACTGCAAGAGAGAAAGCGGGTCGACACCTGCAGAATCCCGATTCCAAGTTTTGAGGAGCTACAAAAACAAGTATAGCGAATACCTGGACGTGCATTACCAAGAATGCAACAAGGGTCATAACCAAGAGCTCAAAAACAAAAGGAACGCTTGCCACTGCGTAAAATCCCGTCGTTTCTTTCTTCACTCTCGGAGCTACAGATTCGATGACATTAGGAGAGAATTAAAGTCCAAAAACAGTGTTGCTTACGTTTTGAGTGATCTGGAAGAAGGGCGGCCTTTCTTTTCTGCCAAGAAGGTGCTGCGAGACCCAGAGAATAAAACAGTTTGGGCTGCGCTCTGGCGTATGTGACAATGGCAGAGCTTGCTAGAAGCAGTGCCGGCGACGCAGACAGAAAGTTCGGGATTTGTTTGAGCTGGAAATACCGTAGGAATCCAACGTCCCTGGAACAGCAGACAATTATAAAAACCATGCCAAGAGAAGCAGATCTTACCAGTAGTGATCTTGAACGAATCCATACAAGTACGGTATGGTTGCGCTGCACCAAGGCCTCTGCTGCTTGGAATCGTTGAAACACATCTCAAAGTAGCCATAAGCCTGAAAACCAACGAAGGGTGCTACCACAAGGGAAGCTTGAAGTCCGCACTGGATGATGACAAAGAGAGATCCTGCAAGCTTATGATAGAAACAATCAAAATTCGAGCACGCGGGAAAGAAACGAAAAGCCAACTTTCTCACCAGCGGCCTTTTCATGTGGAAGACTTTGTGGTGGTAAACCAAGTGAAGGCACTGGAACAAGAAGAATCCCGCATGCACAATGCCATTCGAACGCGCAATGCTGGAGAAGCCAAACAAGATCGCAGACGTCCATCTGGCTCCACTTACGAGATACCACATTCCCGCAAAGGATAGTAGAGCAAATAAGCTTTCAGTATATCTGCGTCACAGAAACGAACGTCGATTGCTAGTTGGAACATCTCAATAAATCCTTGAAAGGTTACCAGCTTACAAGGATGAGTAGAAAACCGATGCCGGATTAAAGCAGAAAAATGCCGTCGACAGGAAAGCCATTCTCTCTCGTTCTAGAACGTACAAACTCAGCCTAGCAAAGAAGGAAAGAACAAATATCGATCAGAAGACTAGAAGATGAATGGAAGAATAAAAACATACCTATATAAGTAGAGAGCTGCCAATACAAAAGCCATGACGTTTATGACATAGCCAGACAAGGCGAGCGTTTCATCATAGCCAAAAAATGGAACAAAGCCTCTTAAAGCTGGAAGAACAGGAAGAACACATCAGTCATGGAATAAAAGAAAAAAAAATCATGTAAGCATTTACCAGTGTTGGAGAGAAAACGCATGAGAAGGGGAAGGAGAGGCTGGAACGCGTGCATCTGCTCGTACTCGTAGCCACAGCGAGCAATCCGCAAGTAGTACACGCCGTCCCACACAACGCTTCTGAGAAGCGTAGAATTCGAGATCCCCCCTCGATCAAAACCATGATCATCCCGCGAGAGACAGGGCAAATCCAATGCTGCCGAGGAATCATAGGGCGATCCAAGCCACGCCCAGGCCAGCATTGCGAGCAGGACGATGCCGCGGGAGGCCAGCGCCATGGCCAGCACTCCCCCCTCTCCCCGCATTGCCCAAGAACCCTAAGATAGAGATTTAGGGTTCTTCAAAATGTAGGGTTTAAGGCGATGGAGCGGTGGAACGCGGAGGAGCACGTCAGGCGCTTCTGGGAATCCATCCCGATCGCGACTACAACCCGGTGCGTGTGTCTTGTCCCAAGGGAATCCATCACGCCTTCGATCAAAGTCTCGACACCGCCAGAAGCACAGCTCGAGCGAGTCCACATAGAGCTCGACACGGTGACGCTCAAGCCAGGGGTTTCCTTTCTCCAGTCCAAGAGAAACAAGCTGCTAGTCCGGAGCGTCTACCGCAAATTCGCCTCTCTGGCGATCGACATTCTCTCCGGCAGAGTGAACTCTCGCAGAGGTGATAGCCCGATCGATCACTTGATCATCGGGGGATCGCCAGGCACGGGAATGACGTCCTTTGGCTACTACTTGCTCACACAGCTGAGGATCCATCCGGATTTCGCGAACAGGCAGGTGATCTGGGAAGAATCCTGCGATAGTTCTTCCGGTTTGAGCTATTTCTTTCGAGGCAGCCAAGTTGTGGAAGGGGTCGTGGGGTCATTCGATTCTCAGCGAACGCAAGACACCGTCTATCTTTGCAATGCTCCTCTCCTTCGACCGCAGCACGCCTTCAGCCACGCGATCCTCTTCTCCTCCGGCTGGGACGAAGTCAAGTATTCAAGGAAGTTCGTGAGAGAGAATGGCAACGCGATGATCGTTTGCATGCCGCCGTGGGACGTCTGCGAGCTCGCGCTGCTGTACGCCTCCGCTGGATTGCTGAACAGCCCCGGAGATTTCACCGCGGTCGAGCAGCTGTTTGGTTTCTGGGGTGGATCCCCTCGAGCGGTGCTGGACAGAGCCGATGATCCGGACTGGTTGTGCCACTTCCAGGCTGCTTTGCTCGAGGCCAGGAAGGAAAAGCGTTTGGACATCGCTGGAGCTTTGAGACGAGACCCGGAACGTTTCAGCCATATCTTCCATCTCGAGCCTTTGGATCCGGAGTACAAGGTGGCAACCGTGGTTTGTGCGTCCCCGCACGTAGAGAAGACGCTGGGGATCGGTCCCGAGGTTGAGCCGTATGAAGATCAGATGGATTACATCAAGGACAACAAGCTCATCTCGGACAACGCTGCTATTGTCGGCCGGAAGTTTGCGTACCTCGTGCATTGCCTCCTGGCGTCGCGAGATGTGAAGAAGCTCCAGTTTCGTTCCAGGCGATTGGATCCGGGTGCTGTGGCTGGCTTGGAGAGTTTCGACTTTGGTGGCAACGTTGTGCTCTTCCGGAAGGCTGGAGATATCATCGCGGGGAAGTCGGGATACTTCGTGGCCGAGGATTGTCCAGGCTCGCCAAATTCTTGCTACGATGCGGTGGGAGTGCTTCTTGATGGATCTGCGGTGATGTTTCGGATAACCCGGAGAGCTAGGCACGATGCGCTGCTGCAGCACGTCCAAGATGCAGTGGTGAAGTTTGGGAGGAACACTCGATTCGTGTATTTGGTTCCGAACGAGATGTTTGACGAGTATCCAATGCAGAGGCTGGTGTGGGGACAGGTGCAGATGGAATGGCCGTGCCAAGTGAGCGTTGTGGGGATTCCAGCCGATTTTCCTCTTCTAATTTTGCGGTTCTTGCAATTTTCAAAGCTTGAAAGAGTACCCATAAAAGTTTGCAAAAAGTAATGTTAATTTTTCATTTTAAAATAAATTCTAATACTATATTTTGTTAGAGATCGCACTCGCCTGTAATATCGCATTATGTTTTTAAAAGATCGCTTGATCAAGTGAGTCCACTGGACGAGATTTCTTAGAAGAACCTTAAGCCATTATACCAGTATATACTAGCATTCTTCGCGCCTACCAAAGTACAAAAGGGGGAAGAAGAGGAGGTTCTCTAGATCGATCAATCCATACCTTGTCCGCTCGGAAATCAAGTGGTAGCACATCCAGCCTCAACGCCGCCTGGATTCAATTTCTGGATCTTCAAGAGCTTGTTCAAAAGTCGCTGATCACAGGAAGAAGAACTTTGCTCGAGCTTGGCGACGTATGCCGGGTATTCCTACAAAAACACACAGAGCTTTGAGTTTCCAGGGCTCTAGAAAGTGTAGCAAAGCCAGAAACTCTTACTCTATGAAAAGCAGCTTCTGCAGGAAGATCAAGCTTGGCCTGGCCGTAAACATCCAGCAGCTCATGAAGCCTGTGAGAAGGTGGTGGAAAAAACTTGCCATGAAATCGACTGAAAAACGCTTACCATGGAAATCGACTGTATTCGCCACTGTAGAGTTGGCTGATGGTCGGACAGGGAACACGAAAGGGAGTTCCAAACCTGAGAAAAACATAAAAACGCATGAAAAAAGAAGAAGAGAGATTGGAAAGCTTTACTCCGGGATCTTCTTGCTTCGTTTGGCACCGGGTATGATACACTGCTCCACGGGCTCGGTGTGGTCGGGAAGAATGGGCCAGACCCGATCGTTTGCACTGTAAGGCGAAGCACAGACGTGGAGCTCGTAAGTGA